CCAAGTAGCATATCTAGAGTTCAAATTCTATAGATGACAATATTTGAAAAATAGAGCTGTGTTCAGTTGATGGCTATGCTTATCAGTTGGATCTAGAACTAAATCTGTAACTTCGGTCACACCATATAGTAATGGGAGCTTTGGCACAATAAATCCAAGGAACTGGCATAACCAAATCCCATTTGGAAAGTTCTGATTTTGGATATAACAGTGATCTTTAATAGTATTACAAGAGGGCTGAATTTGAACTGGGGCTCGAGATCGAAGAACCGAGCAATCAGGTTCTTAAGTGGGGTGATACACTAGCTAAACCACTAGGCTGACGCACTAGAGAAAAAGGGCATATGCTCCAAAAGTATGAACCAAGAAGAGACATCCTTTAGGCACCTAAAGCCTAAGCAGACTGATCTGTCTGGGTTGCCGGCTAGAAGTAAGAGGGGACCAATAGAGAATCCGAATAAAAAGACGGTTCCAAGTGTGAGTACTGGGGTTGTTGTGAACTGATTAAGAGAAATGAGTATATAATAGAAAACTAATTAGGAAGGTTGTAGCTTGAGATACAGATCAGATTACAGCAGTGCTTTAAAGGGCAGCTTGAGATATGAACTTGGTGTTAGCAGTACAATAGATACTAACTAGAAAGATATTATAGAATATGCAGGTGAATACATGTGTTGAACATGTACTGCTCTGTTGGGCTTATCTTCGAGAATAGTAAAGTGTTCTAAGTTGGCTGGAAACATATAGTAGTGTCACAAAACCAATATTTGAATAGTGAGTTATACTTGTGTTAGATAATTAGGCCAAATATGGGGTTTTTGCTTTAAAAATCAAGTTACGAGACTAGTAATTTTTTTTGAGTAAACAGTAAATAAAGATTGTGTAATCCAAACAACTCAAACCTGAATTTTCACTAATTTTAGATATGATCTTCATATAATTTTTTATTATTGAATAAAAATTAAATTGTGTAATAATGCCCACACAAAATTGATAGTAACCACTATAGTTGATCATTTCCATTCTATTTTTAGATATTAAAAGAAGTTTTTTGTCAAATTTCTGGACTCTCATAGCTTATTTTAATATTAAGTTAATCAGTTATAAAATTTTTATAAAATAAGCTTTGTGTTTCATAGATTAGAATTTAGCAAAAATCTCAATTTTTGGTTTAGAGACCTCAGATCACTATTTTCAAAGCAAAGACCCCATATATTTAGATCAAAGGGTTTAAATGGGTAAACCTCTAGTTGGGTTATAGGTATGGCAGATAGTGTAGAACTTTTGGGTAGACTACTTATATTAGGTCCCAAAAGATGCATGTGTGGCTTGATGTATTCTCGTCGCAATGTATAATGTCTAACTTTGCTTAATAAACTCTTGCCAACCAAAAAGATCTCTTTTAAGTAAAAAAAAAAAACAATTAAATATATTTTTGCATACTTTATTCATCATTATTGTAGTCACAAAAGATAACTTCTCTTCTCTAACTCAAGGTATTGCAAAGTATTAGACTGAAGAAAATGAGATTAAAACTATTCATTGGAAATATTTTTATCTATATAATCATCCTTATGCAGAATTTTCAGTTGGGAATATTGTAATATTTATGAGTAAGTTTATTGTAGAAAATTTTGAACAGTATATTAATGTTTCTTCTATTTGTATCATTGCAGCTAGTGATTCTGAACAAGTATTAGAAGCTGATTAAATCTCACTTAGCACTCTTCACTGCATAATCCCAATTCAAATAGCTTGCGATCTAAAAGAATTAGATGATCCTAAATACTTTGATGCTATGTGTTGTCAATATAACTCAATTACAAGCTCAAAGAATGTCTACATGAAACTAAGACTATTTTACCCCACCAATTCATCTTGATTCATCTATCTACGTGCTAATAACAGCATTAAGATAACCAGATAATTTATCATACCTGGTTTTATCTGCTATATAACCTCAAAATTTACTATTATTGAGATTACAGATATTGATTACATGTTTATCAATGTTGGTTTAGTCCAGAATATGCAAGAAATACTTCCTCAAGCTATTCAAATAATTGGTCAGTTATTGACTTAATTGTAGAGGATATTGATTCACTGCTACTACCTCACGAACATCAAAAAGAACCTGTGAAATGATGCCAAAATCTTCTAAACAGGGCACTAACCCGCCTCTATTATCAATGAACTAGTAATACCAATTCTTATACTTATGCAAATCTCTTACTATTTTGTTATAAAGATGAAAATAATATTATACTAATACAATACAATGCATGTACTCATTTTGCTCCCTAATCAACTCAAGTGTCTAGTTTAATTATGAAAAAAAAGAATTTATTGAAACTACTAAATGAATATGTATTGTAAAGAAAAAATATTTTATAATAGCTATTTAACAAAATAATAATTCATTGTCCGGAGCGAAGCTAAGGACTCTGTTTTTACAACAAGTATTTATTAGTATTTTCTGATATTGCTTCTGCGATGATGATTGGCTGAATACTCTGTATAATAATCTTACATTACACTAAGATCAATTTGTTTAATACTTTTTTTATACCAATAGAACAACTTTAAAGATTATATTAAAAATTTTTTGCTTATAAAAACAAATATGATACTTAAATAATAAAAATTTTGATAGAAAAATTGGAAAATTTGTTAAATATAAAGGTAGTATAAAGAAAATTTGTTGAATGTAAAGGTAGTATAAAGAAAATTTGTTGAATGTAAAGGTAGTATAAAGATAATATTAAAAGATTTTACTTGAATCTTATTTTACCAATATAAATATGATATGAAAGTTTTACTATATACTTATTTTATGAACAAAAAGAAATTAGTTTAAGAAAGTTATAGCTTTGTAAATATAATAGTAATATTTTAAGAGGTTTTTTTTACAAATATGAATTTCATTAATTAAATCAACCTAGAAGTAAATATTGATATTACACGACCTTCACTAGTATGCAACATATAAAAAATTATTTTACAATACCAGATCATTCTGCCAGTACATGTTATTATTATGACTCATGCCATTTTTTATAATAAAAGTGGTGTTAGATTATAATCATAACATGTACTAGCTGAATTATCTGGTATTGTAAAATAATTTTTTTATTTATTGCATATCGAGTGAAGGATCAGTCAACATTTTCTCCTGTTACTAAATCATGTTAATTAACAAATGACAGAATTTATAATTGATACAAAATATTTATTATTTTAAATTATTACCCTGTGTAAAGCCATCAAAAAATTATATATAACTGGAAATCTATTAAATATTTAGTGTAACAAGTTTGCAATATAAAAATATATTAAATTTTCTATATTTTATTTTATTTTATTTTATTTTATTTTTATTTTATTTTATTTATTTTATTTTATTTTATTTTGGTTTGTTTTATTTATTTTGATTTTCTTGTATTATGAAATTAGTAAGCCTGTTTATTACTAACTCTTAGAATTGGAACTAACTATCAAGGTCTAATGGCAAGAGTTAATACTATTATGGAAAAGTATCTAATTATCATAGTAGTAAAAAAGGTATTTAAAGGATGCCTTCCTGGTACATTTTGGAAGATAAGTCATATTACACTTAGAATTAGTAAATAATACCTTTAATATCTTGTATTATAATGATAATAGTGTAGTATTAGTATTAGTTAGTATTTTGCATAATTGTATTTGTAGTTTACTTATCTTACAGTTATAAAAGTTTGATTCTCTTGTATATTAAATATCATTTTCAAAGACCTTTAACTAATAACAATCTAATCATAATAAAAGAAATAAATTAAATTTAGTAATAATATCTATATTGAATATAAATATTACTTATCTAACACACATATATTCATATCTTCAAATTCATATTTTTGTTAACTATTATTAGTGGATCTCTGACACAAATTAATAATTATATTCAATAGTTACAACTAGAAATGTGAAAAAAAAAATTATTATCTAATTGTCTAATAGTCTATTGGAGTTCTATCGATCTAATAAGTCTAATGTCTATTGGTTTTAAACTAATTTTTTTTATTAGCAAGATAATGATATCTAAAATTAACCAATCAGATTGGTTTAAATTATATAGTAAATTTTCTATTATATAATAACTTAATTAAACACTATTGGATCTTTAGACTATTTATTGAGTTATTGGCTTGCCTATTATTCCTGGTTACAATGTATTGCTATTTTTATCATGTATCAATTTCCAATATATCATATCTATTTTATTGATAAATATAACAAGTTTTAAAACAGGTAAATCTCAAGAAAATTTTTGATTTTATTTTAAGATAATAAAGTGACAATATGGATAAGACTGAGTTTTAAGATTTACTAAAAGTATTTGCATTATTTGCTAAATGCTATAAATACTGAATTAACTGGTTTGTTTTTAATTGACAGGTTTACAATAAATTCAATTTGTAAAAGATCTAATGTAAGAGATTTAATTTATATGGTGTACTAGTGTGTCATATGAAAAAACTAGATAGCTGCACGATATTATTGTGCAAAACCAAGAACAGAAAAACGAAGCAGAGTACAGAATTAATGCATTTGATACTATAAATTTGTGTATAATTATGATTCATTCTAGTGCTAATAGCAGGATATTCAAACTTATTAGAGAGTTACATCATATATCAGTATATTTGATATATAATTGAAAGAGATATATATTTACATCAGTGCATTTGATGTATAATTGAAATTAGCTGGTGGTTTCCCACTTATATAAATACAGAATGGCTGTTAGACAGAAGCTTTGATGTCATATAATCTTAGCTAGTAGTTTTTTACCTGCATAATGCAGGCTTGCTATAAAGAGATGTTTAAGCTGTCACAAAATGGCAGGATTTTACTGAGAGAGGGGCAGGGTGAGAAATTGATTTGCCTCTTGAAGAGGCTGCTGTTGTGCTGCCCTTCTGGTATATATCTGCATGTTATTGTTATATATTCTCTGCTAAATTTGTATATATTAGTATTTGCATTATAAGCTCAATTGCTAATGTATCACTGCTTAGCAGTCTTTTCTATCTGATAACCTACTGTCAATGAAAGAAGACAGTAGTTATGTGAGTTTTAACCAATCATCGTTATAACATGAAAACAATCATTATGCTAAATTCAGTATGAATAAAATAAAATATCATCTAATAGCTTGTTACAGTTAGTGTTAGAATAAGAAAGTTTGTATTCTAAAATTATTTTAACAGCTCTTTATAGTTCCAATGTGGGTAAATCTATCATCTATATTTGAATCATCTGAATAACTCAAATCTGGATAGTTCAGATAATTATTTAGATAGTTTGGATAATTATTTGGATAACCTGAAAGATATTTAGATAATTATTCAGATAATCCAAAAAGTATTTGAATAATTATTCGAATAACCTGAAAGATATTCAGATAATTATCTGGATAATCCGAAAAATATTTAGATAATTATCTGAATATAAATAGTAAATGGATAACTGAATAAACTCAGATCCAAATATCTGATAATTTTCTGGTTATGCACTTGAAGATTGGAACTTAATTATTTAATGTTAGGATAGAAAGTTGTATTATAGAATTATTCTAACAGCTTTTTACAATTAGTGTTAAGAAAGTTCATATTATAAATTCAATCCAATGTCTCTTTATGGTCAATGTTAGAATGAGAAAGTTTGTATTACTATTCTAACAACAGGAGAAAACATTGATATTACATGACTAATTCTTTACCTGGTACACAGCATATACAATACCAGATCACCTCATTAGTACATGTTAATCCAACATCATTTTTATTATAATAAAACAGGTGTTGGGTTATAATCATAACTTGTATTAGTGGAAGTGATCTGATATTACAAAATAATTTTTTTATGTTGCACACTGGGTGTTTCCTTCTTTTCATTTTAACAGCTCCTTATAATTATTGTTAGGATGAGAAATTATCATTCTGGCAGCTCTTTATAGTTCAGTCAGGGAATATACCATAAATGTACAGAGCTGATCACACTATTTATAGTAATAGAACGCTGATCTAATGGTTCTAGAAGTTTCTTTATGTCAATCCAAGAATGATCACTAACTAATCAAATCAACTGAATAGAAAAAAATTTTATTATTATGCAAACTAGAAAATTCTAAATCTTATTTACTTTTTTAATGGTTTATTTACTTTTTTAATAAGAGTTAACTAGAGTGAATTATTGTGGATTATTTAAACTACATGTTTTCTACTATCTATTAATGCTTTTATTTAGGAGTTTTAAGCAATAAATAAAACGTGTAAAAAATTTCCTAAAACTGCTGGCAAGAAGTCATACAAAAGCCAATCAAATCTATGCAGATCATTCTAGAACTAGATTTTCTAATTTGCTCTAATTTGGTATATTCTCTGACTGCAGTGTCATTAGGGTTTTAATTTTTTTTTGTTTTTTTTTTTTGTAAAATCTGTATTTTTTTTTTCTTTTTTGTTTGTTTACTTTTATAAAATCTTTTTATAAAATTACTCTCTTAGGGTGTGGTAACGTAGCGAAGTAGTTGAGTTGTCACACCTTCAAGTTTGTTGGCTATAAGTGCTAAATTCAAATCCCACTGTCAATGTTTTAAATAATTTACTTGTATCATAGTAACGGCTTATTCTAAATTGGGCTAGGTTTTATATCTGTAAACTAGAGCACACCAATGCCCCAAGTTGGTACTAGAAGACATGAATGCATTTGTGTCATTATATAAAAGAATACAAACTGGTATAGGCAGTGCAAACCCATAATAAGATATTCTAGATTACGATGAGTTAAAGACCTACACATAGTAGTCTGAAAGAGCCAAAACCAGCTTGGCAAATCCCGATTAAGGAAGTAGCAGATTGTTCTAACCAGGTGCTATCTGATACTACAGAACAGATCCGACTAAATCCCAAAAATTGAAGAAGTTGTATGACAAAGATTTTACAGACAAGAGGGATTTACCAACCAGGCTACTAGGCTATCTGGAGGTAAAGGTCATATGTTACGAAATTGTGGACCAAGGATCGAGAGATCTTCAGACTCGAGTCTGAGAAACTTGGTCTGAGCAAATCGATTCTTTCGGGCCAACTGAATTAGAAAAACAATAATACCAAAAAGAGTAAAGTGTAAAAAGTAATAGAATGTAGTACAGAGGTTTGTGAACTATAAAAGAGTAGAAGTAGATAATAGTAGAGGTTTAATGGTTAGCCTTGACCCCAAGTACATAAATTAAGGCATGCTATAAGTTACTGAAGTCTAGGTGAATATATATATGGGAATATACTACTCTGGCAGATTTACCTTGAGGATAAATCAGAATATATGGTCCTGTCCTAAGTTTGGCTTTTAATCTAGTAGTATTGTATAGATCCATGACACTCTAGTACACATGGTGAGGTTACATCTGGGTCTTAAGTTCTACATAGTGGAAGTAAGGATATGATCAGAGGATTTAAATAGATACCTCATATAGTGGGGTGCAGATATGGCAGATAGTGTAGAACTTCATTAGGAAAATTTTAATTAGTTAGCAATCGATTGACAGAAAGAAATGTCAATCGGTAAGTAGCACACCTGCCAATTACAAGCGATAATGATTAGAATCGATTGACAACAAAGCTGCTAGTTAAAATTGATTAAAATTGCTTTGATTGAAATTGATTAATATCAAAATTATACTAAAATCGATTGTTTTTTAATCAATTAGCTACCAATATTGATTATTATTGATTTTTCTAATCGATGACAATCGTCTCTGCAGCTGGTAATCGATATTCCTCCTATTTAAAAATTTCCTGATGTCTTAGTATAGCACTACTGCTTTAGACAGACTACTTAAATTAGACAACAAAAGTACATGTATAGCTATATATACTCTCATTGTATACTAAAATAATACTTAATAATAATAAATCACCATTGACAAAGAAATCACCTTAATACTGAAAAAAAATAAAAATAAAAATAAAATTACTCTTTTTTTTTTGTTTTATACCTCTTGAGAAGAAGAAAAAATTTGAAAAAAAAAGAGATCCTAATGTGGTATACAATGGCTTGTTAGTGATTTTGAGAGCAACCTTTGTCATTGCAAAATTCAAAGTTAGTTTTGAATTCTAAGAGAAACTAACAGCTGTTATATTGGGCTTTTAGCTTGGAAAGTCTTTTTAGAATAGAGCGACACACTATCTTGATATAGTACTTTGTATAACTATCACATAGTATAGTAGTTCATAAAATAAAAAAAGGCAAAATTACATGAACATGAATATTTATATTTATAAATATATAAAAAATATAAATATATTTATATTTAAATTATAAATATAAATATTAAATATTGTTTATAAACTGTCTATATCTAATAATTTTGCTTAGACATATAGGGGTAGTGTTTGTAGTCAATTTTATATAGTCGATTTTATTGACTTAACCGGCTTAGTTAGCCGATTTTCCAAAAAATCGACTTAGTCGATTTTATATTAGATTATATTAAAGTAATAATCAGATTTGATACATTACCTCTCTTAGTATATAGTACTAAGAGTAAGAGCCAAGAAATTCCGAAAAGAAAATCAATAAACATAAAGTACAAACAAGGTCATGCCAAAAATTTAATAAATCACCGATAAACTCCGAAGATAAAAATATTTATCGACTCTGATTTAGCTAGCTAAGCTGAATTTTAAATATTAACTTAGTCAAGTTGATAAATAAGGATCGACTACAAACACTATATAGGGGTAAGTCAGTAGAAATGCACCATGTTTTTTTTAATGAAATTTTTTTGAATCTTCAAACAAAATAAGCTAGCAAAAACTTAACCAAATTTAGTAAAAATTTTTTTAAATAAATTTTACAAGTTTTTTGAATTGGTTTAAAAAAATTTTTATTAAATTTAATTAAGTTATTGTTGAATTATTCTTGTTTAAAGTTTCAAAAAAATTTATTTAGAAAAAATATAGTACGTTTCTACTGACTCACTCTCATATGTCTATATATAATACTAATACCTATAGCATGCCCATAGCTGCTGTGCCATTTATTTATTACATGTAGTAATTATTACTATAGTTTTAAAAGTTTCCAAAAATATATATATAGTAGTTGTAGTAGTTAGCCATTTACAACACTATATTTTACTAAGATATTTAAATACAATTTTTCATTGCCTACTTGTATTTCAATAATACCAAGTTGATTACTTATTCCTACATGCAACACCTACAAAGCTTATACCATTCAAAGTTTCTCTTTATAATTTTTACAGAATTATTCTTCTTTGATTTAGTTAACCCGTAATGATTCAACATAAACAAGTTCAAGAATCTTACCTCTATATTTTGTCATAGCTATAACATCTGGCTTAATGTTTGGTTGTACTTAACTATAGCTCAAAGTAAATATACAATACAATAATATTTGTTATATACGTTCCTTCACTTTGAATGCCTCGTATTTTGTTAATTGCAAAAGCCAGATTATTTTCTCTTTACAAAAAAACAAGATTGATATTAGAGGAGGCCCTCTAATTTATCAAAGTATTAGAGTATTGTGAATTACGTACAGGACACTTAACATACGATTTGTGCACTCTAATAAGTTTGACTTCTTCTCTTTCACTCTTTATTATGGATCACATCAAGTAAGTTCAGAGAGCATTGTAGAGAGGCACATCGGTGTCAGTTATTGGAGCACCAAGTTTTGACTGCAATGCTCCATAAAGTAAAAAAAACCGCATGTAGACCCCCCGTGCAATGTACCCTGTAAAGCCAATTTTTGATTTATACCCGGGGTACCAAACTTCCAGCAATAATATACAAAATAGACAAAATTAATTATATCTAACCAAAATTACCCTAATTTTAACCTGTAGTTAATGAAGTTTGACTCAGGCGCGTCTGAAGTCACACCTGCTTCTGCTTAAGATTACCAGTAAATGCATATAAGACCGAATTCAAGAGTTAATTTCAGTCAATGCAATTCCAGCGTCTTAAGTTACAATTCAAGCACGACTTTTTTACAGTATGTGGCGTTTCAACCTTACATTACGACACTGCTATGGTTTTACTGCGAATAACATGACAAGTACCATAACCATATAATGTTCAATTCAAACGCCAGCTAAGCTTGAATTCTGTTTTTTTTTTTTTTTTACAATAGGATTTGAATTTAGTCAAGTTTATTAGTCGGGATTAGATTGCATTTCGTTTTATATTAAATGTTATTATTTTCTTAAGAAAGTGAAAACTAGTTTTTCTTCACGATTTTTGGGATGGATGTCAATAGTCAGAATAGTGGTGTGGACGCAATACTGTAATTTGTCGTAGTTATAATAATTATGGCAAAAAATGCCATAGTTCATTATAATTACGACAAATTACAGCATTGCGCTCACACCACTAAGCCAGAATCTTTGTTTAAATGTCTAATTACGGAATTAAGCTTTAGAGTTGGGAGCCTAAACTTTAAACTACCGGTTTAGGTTGGCTAAATTAAGGTTTGGACTTCTGACCTAAACCTATAGTTTAGGGTTTAGGTTCCCAACTCTAATTATTATCTTTATACAGCTAAAAATGGTCCTAAACAATTGATCTTACTGTAATTATCTGGGTAGAAGATCATAACTCCAATTCACAAGCAGATTTATACTGAATCACATAAGAACAATGAGTTCTTGCTAAACGCATTGTCAATAAGAATTGCACAAAACAGGAGCTGGTCAATATAGCAATGACGACTACTCGTTCTAGCTTTAATTGGTTATGTTGTGCACATAGTAGTGAAGATGTTCAAAAACAAACATTATGTACTCAGGATACGTAGAAGAACCAAAATCGATGTGACAAAATAAGGAAGCATTATATCAAGAACCCATGTTTTAATACTTTTCATAAATATTTAATTAAATTTGTCTTTAATAATTGTAAAGATTTTTACGATAATCTCCAGCGTAAATACCTATTTTAAATCATACATATTTGAGACAAATTATCTTGCAATACAAACATGTTAAAAATAATAAATAGCCCATGAATAGCGATAATAATTATAAATAAAGTTCCTAAATATGGATATCTAAAATACTCTAATCCCTCAAGCCTAAACTAAAATAGATAATATAAAGGATATCTTAAGATTAATCTTTATAGTAAATTATATATATTTTCAGTTATTGACAACTGCATCGGTATTATTATTAGATGCAACTGTAGGCGTTAAACAATCTCTATTTGGAATGGATCTCATTATTTCCATCATTACTTCAGGAAATGCTGGGTACTCGCCTGACCAAGTAAGGATAAGTTCAAAACTTTTCGTCTTTGTAACTTCTTCATAATGCTTCAATAGATATTCCATGCAAATTTGCTTGAAATCACTGTACAAATAAGCTTGTTGAAAAAGTATAGTTGCCACATTATCTACTGTAAGCAATGTTTCGATGCGTAGAAGCATTGCACGACGAACAGTAATGAGTTGATATTTGTCCGATAATTTAAAAAGCGCAAGACATGCTGGAAGTGCAATCTCAGAAGGGATTCGATTAGTGTATAAGAAATGAAGAAATCGACGGTATGTTACTGGTTCGAAATCTGTGACTTCGATAACATGATATTGTCGTTGTGGTGGTTGTGATACCGATTGCGATGGTGGTAATGGTTTTGTTGATGAACGTTTATCATCAAAAGAAATATTTGTAGAAAATTTAATATTATCTACTCCACAAAATTCTGATACGAGTATCTGAATTGATTTTTTAAGAGAATCAACTTCTTTTTCTTTGGTAGTGATTTCTTCTTCCCTACGCTTGACGGAATCGCGAAAATCATCAAAATTTGTCTGCAAATTTTGTATTTTATTAATAATCAATGATTGTGCTTGTTGGGCATCAGAAAGCTTCGTTTGCAATTCTGCCAAACGCTGTTCATAGTGCTTGTTTAACGCATCAACAGCCGAAACCTGGTTAATATCATTAGTCTTAATGACATTAGTCTTAATGACATCTGATGTGCTTTGATCTTTTCCTTCATCAGCCTTAATTTCAGTAGATAAGCTTTCCAAGGTTACTATTTCCATATCACTGCCGGATGAAGTAGTTTCATCTGCTAGAGGGACTGTAGGTTCAGGTGGCTTGTATTGAAGGCTGAGGATCTTTAAAGCATTTTCTCTTCGATAAGACGAGCTTTGCATCGAAACATGAGTTGATTTATTTTCACGTTTAGATGGTTTATTTGATTCAGTAGGTTTTGCAACACTTTCAGCACAACCACTGTTGAACATGCCACGGAAATATGCACTCCGTGCACGAAGAATATCTTTATGAGCATATATTTTGGTTCCCTGCACGTTGAAAACCACATCAGCAGTATTAGGATTATCTAGCATAGTACCCCAAGCGGTAGCAAGGTCAGGTAGAGTATATTGAAATGTATTATCTACGGACTGAGAAGATTGGACACGAGGAGCTGTAGTCATCGAAAAACAAATACCAAGTATGAAGTTTTCTGGAAGTGAAGATTTCTTAACAAAGCACGGCCAACCTAAATAATAATAGTAATATATTAGAACTATATATGGGCAAATTTGTTTATCATAAAGTAGTGACATTGAAGTACTGAATGTAACTTACCACACCCGGACGACTTCCGTGAAAATTTTTCGAAAGGACTTTCTTTAAATTTTTTGGAGACCACTGTCGTGCATGCCATCTCATCAATTATGTAGATTTCGCAAGAGAGACCCTGACGTGAAATCCATGGACCTTCGGTAATGAGTTCAGTGACAGAAGGTACAGCTTGTAAGAAGACTTCGAGATATTCTGCTTGCTTTTTAGCGGACTGTTGTTTTGTTGCCCCAAAAAAAAAACATACGAAGCAAAACACTTGTAATAAGTATACTATATTAAGGAAAGCTTAAATAAGAAGCTGATATAATATTATCAAAAATTTAGTGTTTAATACATATCTGTAGCAACCATTTTAAAATATAATATAGATACATACAGGCCCAATACGCAAGTTCCATAATTGATTTTCGCCTTTTGTCGAAAATATGGGAGTATGATATGTGCTATCGACATCACTAGCTTTCATTGTAAATTCATATTTGGCACAAGAAAGTTTATTATCCATGTTTTTTTACTATACTTCGCAGTATCTGAAATAAAAAAAAATTCAAAATTCACGCAATTTTAATGTGCATCAATTTACGCCCCTTTTATATGAGCTTTTTAAACAAAAACGTTTCTATTTTTGATTGGGCGTTTTTTTTTTTAAATTGAAATCCCCTGTTCGATAACAATAAATAGAACAATCTATTATGCTAATCTTACTTATACATTATGTTCGAGCCGTCCCCTAGATCGTCTCAACCTGTTGATCCACGACTTTATGAAAAATATCATCGAAGAGTAACAAAAAAATTTGCTCAAATAGAACATGAACGAACACATTCTCCTAAAGCTAAATTTTTTAAAGTACTTAGGCTATTCTCTTATGGAGGTAGATAATAAGAAAAACCTATTTTAATAAGTTATGAAAAACAAGAATTGATATCAAACGGGAAATTTTTTTTAACTATTTAGCTGTTGCAGCATATGCTGTACTATACGCAGATTTCGGTGTAAAAGAACATTGCTTTACTTCTGTAAGTATTTAGAAAATGTACATTGACATTTGAATTTATTAACGGACCGTTTTTATAAGTATTTTTTAACTTACTGAAAGATAAGAGAATGGTATGCACAAAAAAAGAATGATTTCTGGACTTTGAGCGAGAAAGAGGTGCAAGACTTGAAAGAACAGGGGAAAATGTAATCTTTAGGGTTACGATTAAGCCCTTCTTTTTTTTTTGAATTGTGAGATTACTACATAGTTTGGGTTTGGAAATCGGGATTTATACTTCATTTGAGATAATAATCAAAATAATCAAACCCCAAATATATAGTATGTCCCGTTTTTTGGTCAATAGTGTCAAACTCAAAAAACAAATCAATTTGCTAAATCAAGGCTGAAAATTGCTAACTTCGTTATTTTCATTTCAAATTAAGAAAACTGTGATATTAATGAGTAGACAGGTTATGTTGAATAAAAGCGTTATGTAATTCTATGAATTCATAGAATTAAAATAAAAATTCTTATCGAATACTGAGATATCTTCGCTCAAAAATATATACATGTAACTCTCGGTATAAGAAACCTTCGACTTCGACATTAGAAAGATTTTGCAAGTCCCAATTAAAAATTTTACAATAATAAGCTTTTGATATAAGAAAGAAAGGTTTTGACTGGACCCGGAAACTTTCTAAAATATACAGTAGATAATGTTATTATTAACAGTTAAAGGATCGTCGATTTCGACAAATCAGAACGATGGTTTGAGTAGTATCTTATTTAACATTATTAAATAATAAACTTAATATAATATTATTTTTTTAGATTATTTTAAAACTGGTAGTTTTTAATTATTTTATCAGCTATATCGCCTCCGCTTCGCTCATTTTAACTAATTGTCTAGTTATTATATCATATTTATGATTATTTTTAAATAAAATATATATAAATTATATAACAGGTATATAATACTAAATTGAGCCAATCTGGGGCTCATTAAATTTAAAGCTAAATACATTTTTTTATTTGTTATTCAATTATTTTGTAATTTTCTAGATTATAGTAGTTTTATTTTTTATTTTTTGTTAAATATAAACTTTAACTCTAATACTAATTTTTATTTTTTATTTTTTTAAACTTTAACTTTTTAACTTTAAATTCTAATTTTAACTCTAACCTTTATTTTTTATTTTCTTTATTTTTAATTTTTTATTTTTTATTGGCTTTTTTTTGAAAGTGAAAATAAAATTATTGTTGAAATTTGTTTTTTATCTTTGGCAGAAATTTTTAATTTTTTTTTATATTTTTTTATATTATTTTATTTATTTATTTTTATTTTATTTTATTTTTATTTTTATATTTTTTATTTTATTTTTTATTTTATTTATTTTATTTTTTATTGAAAAAATCCCAATAAAAGTCAATCATGAGTTGTTACCAGAGAGTATAATTTATATTTGTCAGATTAAATCAATTCTAAATAGCACATCCAAACAAGTCACTTTAACGGGTAAATATTGGATAAATTTCTATTAATAAAAATAAAATTTATATATATCTTTTTAGTATCAAATATATAAAACTTGAAGAATTATATGTATCTTTTTTAATTAAATCAAATTTAAATAATCTTTTTACATAACTTTATTTATAAAATTTTAAAAAGATTTTACAAAAGAAAGAAGGATATTAAATAATTCAAACTACTATGACTTCAAGTCAACGTAGTTTTTATACCAACCAAAAATCCTACGAAGCATTTATCTAGCATTAAATCATAATTAACCCATGAATGTATATCCACTGATTTATAAATAAAATAAAAAATTATTTAGCAATGTCAAAGATAATAAAATATATATATATATTCATATACAATAGCTTACTAAATAGTTTTGTTCCATCTTTACCAGCAGCACGCATTAATTCTTTTTCACCTATTAATTTACGTTTTTTAGTCTTATGATACCATTTAGAAAAATAATACGATTTACATACCTCCAGGATGAAATTTTAGATATGGAGTGATATTATATATTTTTCCGTTAATTGCAGTCCAAGCATCATTCTTTGTCTTATGAAGTTTGAGCTCATCGAGGGTATATCTTCTTATTTCTGAAACACCCTATAAAAAACAAGGATCAGCATTACCATTACCGGTATTAATACTGTAACGGTAATAGCACGATTGTTATAAATAGTATAGATTACCCCCAGACTATTTTTCAGTCTTGCCCAATCTAAGGCAGAGTGGCCGGGTTCTAAATTTACTTTTTTTCGTAGTTTGTTGGCTTTTTCGAGAGGAGTAAGCTTTGATTGAGAAGGTTTTGTGCGTTGAGGGCTATCAATAGAGGGAAAAGCTGGCGGAATGTCTAACGTGTCTAACATGCAAGGTTGAAAGTAAGTTAGCAAATCACAAGCGGCATAAAGAAATAAACGCGTACCGGTGTCTTCAGTGATTTTCATTTTAGGTACGGGGATAGCCGGTACAGCAAAATCGGTAGTTTCAATTGTAGTTTCTTTTACCAACGAGACTTGTACAGACTGAGGGTCTTTAGTTTCATTTTCGGTAGAAAGTTGTTCTCCGGAACTGCCAATCACAGTTTCATAAAGCTTAGAAGCTAGTGAAAACATGTTAGAGCAGCTGAGTAATATATAGTCTGCACAAGTTTCGAAGGTCAAGAATGAATTTAACATATAATAAAGATAGATAAAGTTTTTAGAGAGTTACAAAATTAATGAAAAGAAGTTTAAATATAAAAATATAACGTGCAGCTTAATAGTAGCTTAATAATACAAGTAAACATCCGGACAGATTAGATGTTACACCGATATGCTTACCAATTTTATTTAAACACGTTTTTAGCAATTCTTTTTTATCGTTATATAAGCGACTAAGGTTAAATTTAATGTTCTGGTTTCATTACATTCATTTATTATAAAATTACACACTTTAAACCATCCATTTTATTACCATAATAAAAAACCAATAATGTGGCTTTCAGACACACAAAGTAGGTTCGAAGTTAATGCCGAAAGAAAGAACTAGTTTATATTTTCTCTATTTTAAAAATGATTTGTTCGCAATTTAGAGATTGGTGTCGGGTTAACGGCGTTTGGATCCTTTTTTATGCTACTTGGTGTTTTACTTTTATTTGACGGAGGTTTACTGGCTATAGGCAATGTAAGCTATATTTTATCATACCCCAACGATTGAAGTATATAAAGCTTATTTAAATATTTTAATGTTAAAATTCTCTATGCACAGATACTATTTATATCAGGAATAACTTTGATTATTGGTTTCAATAAAACACTAATATTTTTTGCACGAAGGAATAAAATCCGGGGAACCATATGTTTTTTTGGAGGAGTACTTTTAGTATTTATCAAATGGCCAGTGTTGGGAATGGTGATCGAACTATTTGGTTTCCTAAATCTATTTGGGTGTGTACATTTTTTTTTTCCTTAAAATTAGTTGAAAATTTTATTAATTTTCATATTCTAAAATTTACTGCAGTGATTTCTTCCCTGTCGTCATCAGCTTCCTTCGGAAACTACCCGTAATTGGAAGTTTATTGAACGCACCCGGTATTTCACAGGTATGCCTCATTATTCTCGTAAGTTAATAACCCATAAAATAAAATAAATAACCGTATATTTGCAAATTAATTACTAGGTCGTAGACAAAATAACCGGTTCAAAGTTACCAGTTTAATAACCAGGCTCTGTCAAATGCGAATTCTTATGTGAACCAATTAATTCCGAGATAATTGTTTTTTTTTTCAGTGTTTTTTTTTTTATAATGACACAATTCGTTAAATTAACTTTATCAAAGAAAAGGTTGAAGCAGTTTTAGCCAACTAATTTTACAAATGGCAACTTATAACTAATTTTATCATTAATACGTAGTTGTAAAAACGATGATGAAATTTAATGGGCAATGTAGGAATTTTGTCTTAGACGGATATAATTATTATATTTATTAATTAGAGTAGTGGGTATGATGAAATAGGTTTAGCAATTTTTTATACTAAAAGTTACTATAGCTTTTTCTAGTAGTTATGTATAAATCAAAAAAGTAATAATCATTTGCATATTAGGTTATATATAGTACGCTAGCTAAATGAGGAATATGACGTATTACGTGTACCGCGGGCAGGTATTAAATTGTAGAATTAAATAAAAATATATATACAATAAATAATACGTATATAATTATTATATAATTATTAGAGTTGGTTAAATCTGTTAGTCAACCAAAATTGTCAAAGAGTCTCTGGTCAAATTGGTCAAATAGGTTATTTGTTATATAAAAATTAATATGTATATTTATATATATAAATACTATTTGACCTTTGACTAGACTGGTCAAATTGGTCAGGTCAAGCTTGAATATTAACTGGTCTAGCTCAACCCTAGTATATAACGAATATCTATCGATATACGATTATCGTTATCTGTTATATATAGTTTATTCAATATCATTATGCATAATTTGATGACTACGTATTTGATCATTATTATGTCATTAATTACGTCAATAATTATTGTTGTAATTTTATATATATATTTGATATATAAAATTTCCTTAACGTTATTTTTTTTTAAAAAAAAATGCTGGTTTATCGTCTTCTCATTATCTTGGATCATGGAATTACTAGCGACTTAACTCAAGGCTTAAAACAACGTATTACAGAAGCCTTTGAAAATATCATAGTTAAAATTGAATTCAAAAATATAGGACTTATTGAACTGGCAGTTTCTTGTTGGAATAAAAACCGTAAACAATACGATGCAAATTCTCTCATTACTAAGATCATTGAAGATGCAACAAATGACGAAACAGCAAATCGACAATCTAATGTTACCGATCTGGAAATTGCAGGTGTCACCCCACCCGCTTTACCATTAACATTGCTTTTAACACCTGCGGATTGTTACGATGGTAATTTAAATTTCGTGTTTGGTCTGGCTAAATATAAAATTGGTGCTATTGTTTCGACCTTCAGATTGGGAAATAATCAAGAATTTGTTGCCAAAGAGTGCATTCACGAGTTGGGTCATGTTTTTGGATTAAAACATTGTAAATTGCCTTGCGTGATGACTTTTTCTAATTCTGTGTTGGAAGCACATGAGAAGAGCTCGAAATTTTGTTCATCTTGTTATGAACAAATTAAAACTGATCACATGTGATTACTTTAGAAAATAATATTTGAGACTTTATAAAACTTCATTCATAAAAATAGCTTTTAACAAAGTTAAAAGTCAACCGATTTAATATTACCGTACTTATCTGACACGAGTATCTCACGTATTTTCATAATTCAATTGTATGTCTGTACGAGGTATACCATCTTAAAGAGGAGTTGTTTAGAAAATGTAACTGGTAATAAAAACACAAACCAATAAATTTATTTTAAAACTAAAGTTTTTTAAAAAAATAAAATTTTGCAAGAAGTGACAAATTGTTAAGTATTTTTATTTTTAAATTATATTTTTTTTTCTTATTTAATGCTTACTATATATCATTCAAATAATTATTAATCACTGTACTTATTTTAATTTAAATATTATATTTATTTATAGAGATTTATTTAATTATGTTTAATACAGTTTTATATATTTTTAATATTATTTTACTGTAATTAGTTAGTTTGTAATTAAGGTTGTTATTAAACTAGGCCAGGCTATTGAACTAAATAAGTTTAATTTTAGGGGAAATTACATATCGGGGCCCAAATTTGAAAATAATTATGAATGAGGGCCTAACTTAAAAATATTTATTTA